TTGGGCAACGACAGGCCATGTGCCCGCCGCAGCAACGTCATCCGCCGACTTCTTCAGTCCGCACCGCCGCTGACCCTGACAGGCCAGCATGTGTCCACTGGCCCTGGACAGCCGGCCAACAAGCTCCCCCTCCCCAGGGGACCATCCGGCAAAACACCCACCGTCCTTAATAAAGAAGCCAGGCTAAGGCGAGGAGTTCTAGCATCAGTTTACAGGAGTCCTTTTCATTTTCCCTGATTTTCAAATAACTTCCTCACAAGACCATAGACGAAAATGCGTTTAAAGTGCTTAAGTCCCAGCCCTATTTCTCCCCACTGTTTACTACCCTTATTACCAGCCGTATGTGTTTAAACCCCAGCTTCCCTGACTACCCTGAGAGAGGGTTAACACATAACTTATTTGCCTTAGAAATCCTACTTTTGGGACCCCATCCTCCAGGAATGAAAGCACTGGTATAAAGTCTGTGGCTGCGATCATTCCAGCGCACGCTTTAATCTTTACCATCGAAGAAAGGAGAGAAGCGCACGCACCCATCCCCGCCGCGATGACTGGGACCGGCAGGTCGTAGTTGTACAGGAGGAAAGACAACATCAGGAAGTCGATGTAGCTCCGGTGGCTGGGCAGCAGGACAACCGGGTGCTCCTGGATGGCTCGCTGTAGCTTTAAATACATAAATGAGACGCTCTGAATCATTTCAGTGTTCACGTTATTAAAGTCACGCCTCACGTCAGAACACGGGAGGATGGGCACATGGATGGAGGGGAGACTGATACTGCATCTGCCTCCCCTCCTACACACACCACACGTGTCTGAGTTCTAGGTAACCTCACCCAATGCAAGGATATGGAGAAGGTAAACTTTGATGGATCATAACAATAACACTGATGATCGCTAACTTATATCAGGTGGGCACCATATTAAGCATTGTACGTAGTAAGCATGTTACACACATTGTTTAATGCCAGGTATTTGTGAAGAGCCTTAGCTTCCTTGTGTGTGGCATGGCCGCGCATTTAATAAATGGCAGATCTGGGAACAGAAATGAGGTCAGTCGGAATGAGAAAGTCAGCTGTGCCCAGCTGGCGTGTCCCAATGGTTAGAGCATCGAGGTCACGAGTTCAATTCCCGGCCCAGGACACATGCCTGGGTTGCAGGTTCAATCCCAGGCCTGGTCGGGGCTTCTGTGGGAGGCAACCAAACAATGTGTCTCTCTCATCGTGCCCGGCTGGTGTTGCTCAGTGGTTAGAGCATCGAGGTCACGAGTTCAATTCCTGGTCCAGGGCACATGCCTGGATTGCAGGTTCAATCCCAGGCCCGGTTAGGGCTCGTGTGGGAGGCAACCAATCGATGTGTCTCTCTCACACTGATGTTTCTCTCTCTCTCCCTCCCTTTCACTCGCTCTAAAAGGCCATGGAAAAATACCCTCGGGTGAGGATTTAAAAGAAGTCAGCACTGTGCGCTCTGCTCCAAACGTGTCCACAGCGAGAGAACACGCTTCTCTCGGGAGATTAAAAACAAAACCGACGAATTTTCAGGACACGTGAAAGGAACAATACTGCCAGGGACAGTGGATGCCGTGGAGCTGGGAGGCATGCAGGGGAGCTCCCAGATGTACCCGAGGCTGTCAACCTCACCCGTGTTCACTGGTATCGACGTGTTGTCTGTTTCTCTGAGCCCTTAGTAGGACCGGCTGAGGGAAGGAGATCTGAGATCAGGGAAGGCATGGCCCGCCCGCTGCCCGGGCACAGTGCCAGCCGTTCTTGGGCAGAGACCTGGCAGTGAGTGAGCGATCTGAAGAGTCACAGGAGGAAACACTTGAGTGAACAGAATCCTCAGAGGCAGCCGATGGATGCTTCTCTCATCAATGTTCCTCTCTCCCTCTCTCTCAAATCAATAAAAACATATTTTAAAAACAAATTAAAAAATGTAATCTTTATAGGAAAGTGTCTCCTTACAGGAAAAAGCAAACTATTAAGTAACAGAAGTGACGGAATTAGAAAACTCACCATCTGGCACTCATCACACGCCCCCGTGCGAAGAGCCGAGCCCTGTGCTAGGGGACGCCCACTGGCCCGGCCTGCCCACTGAGTGCAGGCGAGAAGACGGGAGCTGCCCAGACCGGGAGGGGCGAAGGGGGGGGCTGTTTCAACCAGAAATACTCACTTTCTGAATACCTTCCTCATTGACACACACTTTGGAGTAAATCTGTTTAAATATCTTGCTCAGGGCAAAGGCAAAAAACCGGATGGCTCCCAGACGCAGCTTGTGGCTCATCTCATCCAGGATCTGGCAGGCTTCCTCGCGGAGGGCGTCCTGGGACTGGAGGGGCTCCTTGGAGAGCTGGAGGGGAGGGAAGCGGGGATGTGTTTCTGGAAAAAGGAGCCACAGCCCTTTCACTCACACCAGGTCCACACGGCTGATACTGAGAACTCAAAATTAGTACGTTTCTCCTTCATGTAGGCGGACATTGTATATTTTCCAATGAAACACAAGTGGATAAATGATCCTCTTTAGACAACTTCACAGACTAGGAACTCACAGGGAAGCGGCTTTCCAGGGTGGCATGTGAGACAGGAGACCAGCCCCCTCTCATCAGGTGCGTTTCCAGCTTCCCCCAGGAGCCACGGCCCTAAACACACGGCATGGCGCCTTTCAGCGACTGCCCGGTGCCATGACCAGGTCACGACCAAGGTAGAGACAAGACTACACTGAAGCCCCATTCACACATCAGATACACGGGACCTGCTACAGAATCCCGACTATCACAGACGATCAGTGAGCTCCACGCACTCACAAGGAAACGCCTTCACTCCCATGGCAGAGCAATCTTCTGGTCACGAGAACAGAATGCGGGCGCTGTGCGAGCCCGGCCAGGGCCTGGAGCCGAGCGCATCCGTTTCTGTCCTCAGGGAGCCAAACTGAGTCCTTCGAGCCGCCCCAACAGGCGCTTTGAAAAGGAGGGAAGTCTATGTGTTAGCTGATGGCTACCCAGAATGCTCTGCTTCGGGTGAGGAACAGACCAGGGGGTGGGATGTTGGGTCCCCAAGTCACATGCAGTGAAGAATACCTTATCTTTTCCCAACACTACGGTGAAGTTAATACAACATAAAAATAGCCTTTTTTTTAAAAAATAGATTTTGAGTCAGAGAGAGAAACATTGATTGGGTGCGCCTCCTATTTATGCATTCAGTATAGCTTCTTGTATGTGCCCTGACCGGGGATCGAACCCACAATCTTAGCACATTAGGACAAGGTTCTAACCGACTGAGCTACCGGCCAGGGCACAATTAGCCATTTGAACAGAAGCGATAAAGTAGAAGAGCAGTCCTGTGGTCTTTAGCACCTTCACCAATGTTGCGCAGTCAGTCATCCTCTATCTCATCCCATGCCTTCTCTTCTCTGAGGACTGACTCAATGCAACAGGCCCAAGAGTGTGGAACTAGGATAAACGTTTCCTCTTAACCTGTATTCCTCTCTTGTCCTCTGAGAGGGATGCAGCAAGAAAGGTGTAGTAACACAGTCAGGGGAGAACTCACACTGAATATAAATGGACTGAGATGTAACGAACAGGAGGCTGGGGAGTAAAGATGGCCACAGAGAGAACAGCTGAAAAGTTTGAATGAGAAGAGAGAGGAGCCCGGCCAGTGTGGCTCAGTAGTTGAATATCGACCTATGAACCAGGATGTCATGGTTCAATTCCCAGTCAACTCACATGCCCGGGTTGCGGGCTCAATCCCAATGTAGGGTGTGCAGGAAGAAAATTTTTAAAATTATGATAAAAATATACATAATATAAAATTTGCCATTGCAATCACTTTCAAGTGTAAGTTCAGTGGCCCTGGAATTGTCTATAGACTGAAGGGAAGGGGCTGATGAGAACAAAAGGCTGCAGAGAGAGGACAGGGAGCGGCCACGGTCAGTCTGTCCCAAACAGAACTCAGCTCCTCTCCACTCCCACCACCCCCTCCCCTGGCTGCGAAGGCTTCTTCCCTTCCCTTAATAATGTCTACTTTACCTCTCAAATGTCTCTGTTGTCTAAAAGCCTTTGTACATTTTTGATCAGGGTAAGGGCAATCTCAATGTCAACTTGTCACCTAATCATAAACTTGAACTTACAGGACTCACTTCCCTACAGATCCTGCACCTACTGACTTTGACGACATAACCTAAAATGCAAACAGCCCTTCCGTTCCCTAGGGTTATGTGTTTAAAGAATAAACAGAATCCCTTGCAATAGCCAACACTGGTACTTGGCGAGGACAGGAGCAAAACAAGGGCAAGAGCATTGCAACTTAGTAGCCCAGCAACTCAGTAGCCCAAACATCATTGCAACCAAGTTGCAGGCACCAAATAAAGAGTGGCAGGTGCATGGCTTAAGGTGTCTACACTTTAAGCATCATGAGCAGATTTCTTATCTCTATTTTTAGCAAGGTATGTTTCTAAAATATAAACAATCGCACCAACTCCAAATGGAAATCCTTCAATAGCTTTGCACAACTTCTAATTCCGATACAAGGCTTGCAACGCCAGAGGCCCTGCTTTCCTCTCCAGCCTCAGTTCTTACCATGACCCCTTCTCTGCTTCTGTGGTCTGGTCATGTTAAACCACCTTCAGTGCTACAAATACGCGTGTTCTCTGGTCCTTAAAACAAGCGGGTGGTTCCCAAACTGCCACCCTTTGGAATGGACCGGGCTTCCTTAAAGACTACCGATGGCCGGCTCCTTCCCAACCTCCTGGTGTAATTGGTATGGGGTGGGGCTGACGCACAGGGATTCTTAGAGCTCCCGGGTGAGGTTTGAAAACCACGGGCAAAGTTATTGCTCTATTAGAAATACTCCTTTCACCCAGTTCACCTGGAAAACTCCTAATCCTCTTTCAGGCCTCATTTTAAAAATCTCTAACTCCCTACACAAAACTAGCAGGTGGCCCCTAACAGGTGGCCCTGCGGTGGCGCCCACTAGTGTATCTTGTATCAAAGTTGATGGTACAACTGTCCTCATGCCCCATCAGACTGCACACTTAAGAGGCAGGAACCCTGCTCCAGTCCCTCACTGCTAGACCCCGTGTCTAGGACAGAGGCTCACACACGTTCTGGCTGTGGTATACATTTGATGAATGTGCTGAATGTAGCCAAACCTAAAAAGATACATTAGGCCCAGCCCAGCCAGCGTGGCTCAGTGGCTGAGTGTGGCCCTAGGAACCAGGAGGTTGTGGTTAGATTCCAGGTCCGGGCACAGGCCCGGGTGCGGGCTCCATCCCCAGTCGGGGGCGTGCAGGAGGCAACTGATCCGTGATTCTCTCTCGTCACTGATGTTTCTCTCTCTCTCCCTCTCCCTTCCTCTCTGAAATCGATAAAAATATATTTTTAAAAAAGATACATTAAAGATAGCCAAATAAATTCATAGCATCAAGAAGAGAAAGAACTTGTTGACCAGGAGCAAACCGGGCTGCGTTGAAGACGACTCACTTACCTGCTTAATGACGTAGTAAACCTCTTCGGAGTTGAGAACGCTACTCTTAATATCGCTTGGCGTGCACGGGACGAGCCCCTTATACAGGAGCGGGGTGTAGCACTTCATGGCAAACTTCAGGTCACTGACATGCCTCCTCTCCTCTAACATATCTTCAAACTCATCCCACTTTTTGAGCTCCTTCTGTGGACAAGGTAAAGGAAAGAGAGTCATGCACATCCTGCATAAGTCAGGACAGATTAGGGACTGTACTTGTAAAGCTTTATTTCTGCCCCATTTGTATGCTGTGACATGTGACAAGAGCAGAGTGACCGAATGTTAGATCTTCATATTCCAAGAAAAAATGTAAATAGGATCAATAAATTGATATTGAATTATCATAATGTTTTATTTTATCTTTTAAATGTTTTTTTTAATTGATTTTAGAGAGAATGGAGGGGGATATATAGAGAGAAACAAAGATATCAGAGAGAAACATCCATTGGCTGCCTCCTTCATGCTCCCCGCTGGGGATCGAGCCTACAACCCGGGCATGAGCCCTGATGGGAACCAACTGTGACCTCCTGGCTCATAGGTTGACACTCCACTGAGCCACGCTGGCTGGGCTATTTTTTAACAGGATTTATTTAATTGTAAACATATAACTTAATCTTTAATATTTTTTGAATCCTCACCCGAGGATATGTTTATTAATTTTTATAGAGAGAGTAAGCAGAAGAAGGGGGGGAGGGGGGGTGGGGGGGAAAGACAAGCATCAATCAGTCGCCTCTCATACATGCCCGACGAAGGATCGAACCTTCCAACCAGGTATGTACCCCGATGGGAAGCAAGCCCGCAGCCTTTCGGTGCACGGGACGATGCTCCAGCTGACTACCTGGCCAGGGCTTACACTTTAATTTTTAATAATGGCTGCGTTTTAACATGGGGCTTGCAAGCTTCGTGAAAATTTAACGATCAGCCCTGACAGCAAGTACAAGACTACAGACTCCGGCTGCCAGCACTGGAAACGAAACACTCTAAGGACAATGGGATAGAGTAACTAATGAAAAGGGGTGGGAGCGCTACTGGAGATTGAATGGCTGGGGAAGTCCTCTCTGGGGAGGAGAGCTTTGTGCTGGGACCGCAATAATAAAAGCAGCAGCGGCTGCCCGCCTGGTGATGTGGTGTCTTGTAGCACATTGTAAGGAGTCGAGATTTTTCATTCAGAGTCTAACAGGAAGCCATAGTTTGGGTGACAGGTGCGCCAGCGATCCCCCACCCCAGCCTCCTTTGCATTCTGTGGTCTCACTCCAAGACTTCCCCAGGCCAGTGGCTTAGGATACAACCTACTTGTGATGGTTGCCAAGCCTACATGTTTAGACCATATTTCTCACTCTATTCAGATGCCTCCCAAGCCCCTTGTGATGGATCTAGTCCATAACATAATAATCCACAAATTAAAAATCATTAACTTTGCCCTGGTTTGGCGCAGTGGACAGAGCGTCGGCCTGCGGACTGAAGGGTCCCAGGTTCGATTCCAGTCAAGGGCACATGCCTGGGAGGCAGGCTCGATCCCCAGTAGGGGGTGTGCAGGAGGCAGCGATCGGTGATTCTTTCTTATTGATGTTTCTTTCTCTCCCTTCCTCTCTGAAACCAATAAAAAAATATTTTTAAAAATTATTAACTTTGCCTCCCCCATCTCAAACTGAACACAACCCCAATTACACCCTGACCAAACCTGCTCCGTCCGCATCTCCTATCTGCGAAAGGCATCTCATCCACCCAGTTGCCCAATCACAGAAACCAGGAGTCAACCTCAGTCTGCCTCCTCTTCCTTAGCCACCCCTTCAGCTGCCCTCCATACCCCACAGGCGGCCCATCGCCCTCTCCCCACACTCACTGCCACTGCGACTCGGGCTGTCTTCCCTCCTCTGTCCTGACCCATGTCCAGGATCCTGGCATCAAATTCCCTCCCAGCCAGCCTCTCCTTCCACAGCCTCCACTTAAGTGAAGTAGGAGAGGTTATTCATCCAGATAATCATGGCAGAAACCAAGCAGGTCTCTTAGACCTTCCACGTACTAATGTGATCCCCTTAAATGGTGCCCAGTGAAGTTCAGATTTCAGCCGTAAGGGTGGGTAAACACGACACATGGAATCCCTTTGGGAAATGTCGCCTGCCTACTTCCCGGGCTTCCTTTCTCTGGCCCCCCTCTATTCCAGCCTTCCCTGACCCCTTGGTTCCCAACGTGGAGGGTTCTATTCCTTACATGGATGCCTAGACCAGGCTTCCTCTCCCTCATCCCCCTTCACATCTCAAAAACTCAGCGCAGGCGTCACCTTCTCTGGTCCCAGACAGGTCAGGGGCTCCTTCTCTCACTCCCACAAGGCATTGCGCATGTTTCCACCACTGCCCTCCTCCCACTTCATTGCAACTATTTGTTTACTTTCATGACTTCCTTGGAAGTCCTGAAAGGCGAGGGCTGGCTCTTTAACTTCTGTGTCTTGAACACTGAGAAGAATGACTAAGGGCTGCTTGTTGCAATCAGCAATATCTCAAGTATCTCGAATACCACTCTCAGATTAGATAGCACATTGCACAAGCCCAGGACAGGCCTGAAATAGTAATAGTAAGAAAAAGCTCAGGACATCAGGAGAGGAAAACTGTGTAATCACAAGACATGTGCAGCGCCCGTCCGAGGAGAAAGCTCATATACAACTGCCTAGTCGTTCACAGGAAAAGTTGAGAAAAGTCTTATCAGTAAAGAACCATTGGTGAATGGGAAGTAAAGGACCGACTCCCTCCTGTAATAAAGGAAACTAGAGGCCCAGTGCACCAATTTGTGCACAGGTTGGGTCCGATGGGGTGGAGGGGCCGATCAAGGGCTGGGCCAGCCGGGGGCAGGGGCTGCGGGCAGTTGGCCGGCTGAACTCCTGGTCAAGGGGACAATTTGCATATTAGGCTTTTATTACATAGGAGGATTGTACTCAAGTCACAAGCCCGTTAGGACTAAAAAAGGGACCTACGCCTGTCAGAGCCACACCACAACCCTCTTTCTACATTCCTTAGGGACTCCCACAGGGGCAGCAGTTAGAGGTCAGATATTCCCACCACACACCTGGCGGGTGGGAAGGCCATGAGGAGGGCCATTACAGTGACGAGCCTGGGAGAAATGGACCGCTACCAGCAACTAAGAGCTCCGAGCTCCGCCACGAAATGGTCATTTCCTCTTGTTCCAAAGAATACCGATCTCCCAACCAGAAGGCAGCCACATACACATACACACCCTCTTTTGAAGTTGCGGATTTTTGTTTGTTTGTTTGTTTATCTTGCTTTTTTGTTTTCCCTGTTTGACCTTCTCAAACAAATTAACATTATATTTAAGTCAGACTGACACTAACTGCTAGGACAAGCATGGTGGCAAACCTTTTAAATGCCCTCTTTTATTTCCTCCTAAAGTAGATAAAAATGAATCTATTGTTTTTTAAAAAAAACACAATCCATTACGCCAGGGTTATGCAACCCCGAGCGCTACAGAGCTCTCGTGACAATGGTGAGTGACCAGCAAACGTTTTGTTGGCATAAAAAGACCTGTTAACATCAGGAGACAGAGAGAGGCGGTCGGGGGGGAAAGGAGGCGAGTTGGAGAGAGGCTGGGTGGCAAAGGAAAAGTACAATGACAAAAACAGGCCATAAAACCTCCAGAAGTTCCAAATCTCCCTAGATTTGTTCTAATCAACAGAATGAATTGACCGACAAAATAAGACCCGAAGCAGGGAAGACATGGGACCGACTGACATACCTTGATGTGGGGTTGGGGGGAGAAAAACTTAAATCGTAAAAACTCTCTGCCCGCTGATGAGCCCAACACTCTCCCGCCGGCAGCGCAGGCCG